GTCATCAGCAAGCTTCAGTATCGGCGCAGACGCCAAGCTCTTCTTCACCGAGTCGAATGCAGCTTGGTGGTCCGATTTCCACTCCCAGATCACGTCCTTCTTCAGCAGCGAGGACAGCGGCTGGATCAACCCAGCGTAATTCTTCGTGTACTTGTGCAAGTAATTGGCCATACCAAGCCACTGACGCAACTCAGTGGGGCTTGTCGGCGTTGGCCAAGCACAGATAGACGATACCTTCTCAGGATCCGCGCGTACACCGTTCTTGCTCACGTAGCATCCCAACACCGGAATCTCCGGTGCGCAGAAGACACATTTCTTCAGGTTTGCGTAGAGCTTGTTCTCTCGCATCACCTGGAAGACTTGTCTCAGGTGTTTCAGATGTACGTCCACGGCACTGAGGTTGCCCTCAGCACGGCTGTGCACGAAGATGTCGTCGAAGTAACTCCCCGCGAAGTCTCGAAGCGGGCGAAGCACATGGGAGACCATGCGATTGAAGGTGGCAGGCGCGTTCTTGAGGCCCTGTGGCATCACGAGCCACTCCCAGAGCATCCCGCTCGGTGTACTTACGGCGGTGAGAGGTACATCAGATGTTCTCATCAGAATCTGATAGAATCCATCGGTCAGGTCGATGGCGCTGTAGATAACGCTGCCAGCCATGGAGTCCAGTACCATGTCCTTCCGAGGGATCGGAGTCTGCGCGGGGATGGTGGCATCATTCAACTTGTTGAATGCGTGAGCGATACGCCATCCCCCTGTGGCTTTCTTCACACAGAACGTTGGACTGGAATGGGGAGAGGTACTCTCACGCACGTGACCCGCCTTTCGGCGGCCCTCGAAGAAGTCATCGATCGCTTTCACTTGATCACGCGGAAGTGGCCATTGTCTGGTAACGCAGTACTTCGTACCTGGCGCGAGGTCGATCTCATGCTGAACTCCACGATCCGCCGGTAGCTCGCAGGGATCTCATCCGGGAAGACGTCGGCGTACTCGCAGGCGGTGTCGTATACGGGATTCGCTGACTCCCGCAAGGCCTCCCAAGACTGCGTTTGGAATCGTTCCTCTCGAGCAGACTTAGGTTCAGCACCTAGCGGACGTGAGCGTACACTGTCCGTTGCGACCGCGTTTGCTGCCTCATCCACCGAGACTGCCTCGGTGACCAAACATACTTGCTCGACGTCTCCAGCCTTGAGGTCCCGAAGAAAGTTCTTCCAGGACAAGCCTGGAAGGCGTGTGATCGCCGCCGCTTCGCGCGGCGGGCTCGCGATTGCGATGCTGCGCGACCGATTCGGGCCTCCTTCCACGTACTCCAGCGCGCTGACCGATTCCATCGGCGGGCTATCGCTGGTCGTGTAGTCTCGACGAGGTTTAAGGCGTCGTCGCTTCGACTTCTTCTTCGACTTCCTCGAGCTTACGCTCGAGTCTGACGCACTGCTACTCGACGATGCATCACCCTCCTCTAGGCGCGGGAGACCGTACTCGACCGGGCCGGGAACACGCGGGAGCCCCTGCTCTACCGCGGCATCGTTTGACGGGAGCCCAATATGCTCGACCGCCGAATCGTTCGGCGGGAACCTCTGCTCTACCGCCGTCTCGTTGTGTGGGAGCCCCTGTTTGACCACTGTCTCGTGTTGTGGGAGCCCCTGCTCGACCATCATCTCGTGTTGTGGGAGCCCCTGCTCGACCACCGTCTTGTACTGTGGGAGCCGCTGCTCAACCACCTCATCATCTACCTCGCGAATCCGCGAGGGCTCTTCGTCCAACAACGTAGCACAAGCCATGCAGAGAGGGCCATCGCTCGCTCTGTGCACTGCTTGTGTCGTTGCTGTTTTGTCTACGACTGTGACGTAGGGCCAGTCTCTTGGCGCCACCAAGAGGTGTGTGAAGACCTCGCTCACGTCGAATCCACGTCGACGCTTGACTGATTGGGCCAGCCAGTCAATCTCTGGCTGATATCGCGCAAGCCAAGGGATGCCCAGGATGCAGTCAAACGCGTAGTTCATCTCGATCACCAAGAAGTCGTCCTTGCTACGGAAGCCGTCGAACGTGTACGACAAAGACACGTCACGCCGCGCAACGCGGCGAGCCTTACCATCTGCGAGTTTGACTTGGATCTCGCCCGGACCATTCCGGACGCGGACGTTCTTGGGTAGTACCGACAAACACGATGCGCGAAAGAAGTTGTTGGTCGCTCCTGAGTCAAGGAGCGCGCGCAGTGGTCGCCGGGCACCGGTGACGTGGAGGCTGACAATGATCAGTCTCGAGTCGCCCGGCGTAGTGGTGGCATTGGTGTGTGCTTGGAGCACGGGAGGGCTCGAAGGTTGGGCTGCCACCGGAGGGCCCGGTCCTTCGTTAAAGCCAGTAGGGCGCCCCGCACCTACTGGTCCTGGTCGTTTTTTGAATGAGCGACCGAGGCGTGTTCCGCGTCGACGTGAGAGACGACGGGAGCTGGCGCGCGGCACTCCGCCGCGCGATGACCCTTCTTCCCACAGCGGAAGCAAATGAGGGGGCGATTGCTTCGCCCAGCGCTGCCGCGGTAGGACCCGCGACGTCGATTGCTCGACGCGTTGATGGCGTCGATCTCCATGGGCTCGGGGGTAGACTCTCGGGCTTCCGCAGGTATGGCTGCGGCGTACGATGCAGCGACCATGTAATCCTCGCGAATCGCGAGTGCAAACGCCTCCTCGAGAGAGGAGGGCTCAGCTCTGGTGAGGCAGTAGCGGGTCATACCCTCGCGCATGCCGAACACAAATACGTGGACTTGCGAGGCCATGTCGATTGGCTTGGTCACGATGCATGACGCCAGATGTCGCGTCTTCTGGACGTAATCACGCATGGACATCTGCCCTTGCCGCAGAGCGAAGAACTCTGCGCGAACGCGAGACTCATCTTGCGGGGGCTCGAACGCGAGGCGCAAGTCGCTCTGGAGAGTTTCCAGAGTCGGGAAAGCCTCGGGGTCGACAACCAGCTTCCCAAGGGCCCATTCTTTGGCCTTCCCGGTTAACTGGGAGAGGAGGAAGTTCATCTTGGCCGATGACGCCTCGATGCGTCGCGAGGCGATAGCGATGTCGATCTCGCGGAACCACCGATTTAGCGGAAGCCGGTTTTCACCGGCGCCAGAATACGTAGACGTCTCCATCTTGACGACGTCATTCTGGGATGGACGCGAGGGAGTTGACACCCGCCGATTCGCATCGGCGAGCTCGCGTTCCATGAACTCTTGTGCTGCAAGACGTTGCTGGTCGGGCGTCGCTGAGCTCAGCAGCGATGCGACGACAGCGTCTCCGGACACCGCCACGAGGCGGTGAAGCGCTTCCCACTCCACGCGAGTGAGATGGGGGAATGCAGCATGCTCCAGGGTCGCCCCGGAGATCTGGACTTGGCTCATCGTAGACTTGGTCGTTGGAAGGACTACAAAGTGCTACCAGGTGTAACGGGGTAAGAGATACCGTTACTAGCTTACACTGTAATGCGGAGGAAGCTCGCAATAATAAAACCAAGTCTTAGGTTTGTGTCAAATTCAACTCTGATTTATTTAGGACCAGGGCGGCTACCCCTGGCCTCGTGTGAACCACTCAAACACATGTCTATATCTGATTGGTCAATAAGTGAGTCTGGCTCCTCACTTTCAACCAATCAGATGATGACACCTTGGCACACGCTACCCGTGTGCCACTTTACCTACTTATGTAATAACTAAAGAAATATCTACCTACTTATGTAATTGGAGTTGGGCCCATTACACAAAGAGCCTTCAACAGTCTTTCGTCGACGGTACTCTTGATAGTTTCCTTCCGCCTCTCATAGAGTTCATCATCGCCTTTGCCGCGGGCTTTGACACTCTCTTCATACTCAGCGCGAGCTTTCATCCACTTGATTTGCGCAGAGTGGGACATAGAAGACAATCGGGGCGCGACCACCGGAATGAGCAACGGTACACCCACGGTGCTGATGTCTCCGGGTATTGAAGCATCCTCTTCAGCGGTCTTGCCGCGACGATCCGGTTTCTTCATCGTGTGAGCGCGGGTTCACTAAAGTCGACTTTGTAGTACGTCCACGAGGCAAAAACAGTAGACACAGTTAGGGAAGCTGGCACTTCCGAGCGTTTAGCCGATTGTATTGCTTGCTCAGTAGAAAGAAAAAGGTAAAGTGACTAGAGTACTCTGTCCGATTCCTCTTCTCGCCACAGCAAACCTCCTGGGCACTGACATGGAACATCAAGTCTAGTAATTACAACTGCAAGTGCAAGGACGGCCAGCTGGTAGTAAATGCAACTTGCATTTACTCCAAAGTGCAATGAGGGAAAGGCTTTCAGCCTGAGCCCCACGCTACAGTACTTAAGTACACCAAACCACTTCGGTCAAGTGCTACCAAAATATCGAGATCGAATGTAGAGAGCGCAGCGCGACGTAGATGCAGCAGAGGAGGAAGCGATAGTAGTGAAGGGGGTTTGAATTGCTTTGCAGTGTTTTTTTTTTTTATTTGAGGTAAAAGCTTGTAGAATGAATTAAAACGATTAAGGGGTTCTAGTTCGCTAGGTTGCTACATCCAGCTCCTACATGCAAGCCTCATATAATCATCACATGCCAAGAAGAACTCAATAAAATGACGGTATGCGCGCTATCGAACAGCTTCAGTCGGCATTGCCCCAATTGGTGAGTAGATGAGCTTTTGAGCCTTCCTGTGCTCCAGCGCGGTGCCGTTTCGGTCGCTGAGTGGCCTGAATCAAATTGGATTCAGTCTAGGGTGCCCGTATGATGGTGGAAGTGTCTACGCTGCTGCGCCAGCAGCAAAACCCGACAGACAAGTTAGTGAGCCGTCCAGCACCCGAGAAACGAGCTGAGGGTATTGCAATGCCAAAGTATAGCGGCTCATTAGATGAGAGCTTGGAGCTGTTCCTTGACCAAGTGCGCCTGCTTTTTTAAGCCACGGATATCGACTACACGCACGAGAGCACCACTCGTTGTGCTCTAGCTATGAGGTACCGAAAGATGATTATGCGCATGAAGGACGTGAGTGAAATAGACAAGATTGCCATATTCACCTGGGGCCGCTGTCTCGAACGCGCACAGATGATCTACCATCGGTATTCTATTGCCCACGATGCGATTAGCGTTTCTAAGACCGTCAAAACATTCCACCACGGCACGTTTCCTGCGAAGCACGTTGCTGCCAAGTTCCTTGTGAATCACATTATGATCCTCGCCATTGTCAAGCAGAATAACTGCCTCACGGTTGCCGACCGAACCCTGCTTCTTCAGCAGCTAGAACCACAACAGCGTTGATAGTCAGGCATTCAAAATCGTCTGGCTCACAGGCTTCCTGTCTGTCGCCCACATGCAGTCGAAAGGACGATTCATCCGGTCCGTTCCCAAAGGCTTATCCCGATTAAACTTGCGGCAGCTGGACATGCGATGTCCTGGTTTCATGCAGAAAAAAAACACAGATTGCCCTCTAAGCCCTCGTCGTGCGACATGAATTGCCGTTGACCGATCTCCATTGACGCAGGCCCAGTATCATAATGGGAGGGTCATAACATATCCTCGTGGCTTAAATGCTCGGGCACGAGGCAGCCCACGGCTTGGCCATTCTGCTGTGGTGACCGCGAGTGCGCGCGCTCATAAGACAGGCGCGGTGGTTCTGTGAAGTACAAGATGATTTCATCTTTGATGGGTACCGTATTTCGCATGTAGACCGATACCGCTACTAGAGCGATACACCCACACAGCAGCGAATCATTGATTAGATTTGAGATCCCAGGAAATCGCATGTCGATCAATACACGACACTAAAATGAAATAACGACAATCAAATTTTAGAAATTTCACCACAAGCAAATGGTTCGTGTCAAGCCAAAAGGAAGACCCCGACGAGGAGCACGTGGCCGCCACGTGCAGCAATACAAGCTGAATGCTGAATCAGTTGACAAGAAGCTCGCGGTTCTAGTGATGTTAAAGACGACGGGAGCTATGCGAGCCACCATTTATCACTTCTATTCTAATCTAGCCGTCGCATCGTACAAAAGTAATCAACGTAGTGCTAATGAAAGTGCCGAAGAGCGCGACCGCTGCCTTGCAGCCAGCGGATGTGGATGAGCTGCTGGCACAACATTCAAGCTGCGTCGACCCAGCAGGATCCTGGTATGTGACTGGATTCAGCATGCGTGGAAGTCACTTCCTGCTACTACAATTTCTAGTGGGTTCAAGCGAAGTAAGCTCGAGCCGAGTGCGAGCTACATTGCGTCGAGTCAGTTGGTGACCCAGCTCGAGAAACTCTCACTACTAGAAGGGCAACTGGTAGATGAAAGTGATGACTTCGCCGTTCAGGACATCATCGAAGAGACAGCTGTCTAAAAATAGAGATTTGTTTCTCATCGAAAAGACAGCTGTCTAAAAACAGAGATTTTGTTTTTCAGCTTTTAACATCGAAAGGGAACCTTTCCCTCATAACATGAGGTGTATCGGTCTACATGCGAAATACGGTACGCTTTCAACGTTACGGTACTTTCGGAGTGGGGGTTACCTTCCACACATGATATTAGTTTTGGCAAACCTTTCTTCGACGAGAATAATCCTGCAATCAGCTGGAGAACGCATGAAGTACGGCTTGACGGAGGTCTTCGCAGTCTGAACTTTGCCTTCCAGACAGAGAGTAAGGTCTTTGAAGCAGCAGTTAAAGTCGCTGACCCAGAGCTAAATCATCAAGATCACGAGCGAGACGCCTTCTTCTTGGAAGACATTGTGTCTGAGCTAAGGACTGCAGAAAAACAGGCGTTTTTCGACAGATATCAGCGTAGTCGGGAAGCTCAAGCGACTCTAATGCAGACGGTTCTACTAAGTGAGCTTTGGTTTGCTCTAGAGCAGGTCACAGAGCTAAGTGTTGTGAAGAACCTGAAGGTGAGAGCTTACGAAGAAGCCTATAGGGTAAATGTGTCGGCATCGTCGCCATCAAATGCGCTCGCTATTGGACGATTCGTGCTACAGCTGCACTTATGGGATTGGTAGTCGAGTTGGGCCTCGGTTACTTCACATGTTACAGTTAAAATATAGTGTCAGCCCCCCCTTATTTATGTGATGATATAAAAATATCACCAACTTTATGGTTAAAGCTTTGTAAAGCACAACGCGTATGCGTTTCCAATCCAAAGGTACTCCGAACGAATTTGTCGAGATGGATGAATAGTTGTGAGGCTTGAAAGATCGATGCGGTACCGCAGTCATTTGACAATTTAAAAAAAAACACGTTGCGCAACTTGCTAAAAATGTAACTTTCCATAAATTACGGTTAGCCGTGCAACCGGTTCATGATCTGTAGAGCTCAAGATTTGGTCATTCCCGAATTCGCGACCCCCCCACTGCTACCCGCCGCCCGTATGATGAAGAGGCGCAAGTTGATGAAGAGGCACAAGCAGCCGCCGCAGCACAGCCACGAAGAGCGCAGTGACGAGGTCAACGTTGATGCCGACGCAAGCGATCCCGTGAAGCCAGCGCAGCCGTCCGTTCCACCGAATCAAGCGTGTACGTGACCAACTTGGAACGGGCATTCGTTGGATTGACGCGAGTACGGACAGTTTTTTACTGTGTTTTACAACTCTATTGGGTATCCCTGGTATCCTTGGCAAGACGTTTGATTCGTGAGTCGCGTTCTTTTCGTTTTTTGAAGTGGTTCGTGCGCCAGCAAGTCGTTGCTTACCGCTCCAGAGACTATCAAACAGCCAAGTTGTACAGCAGTAAGCGCATGAAGCGGCCCGACCTTCAAGTTTCAGCACACTTAGAATATACCTTCCGTAAGTATGCATGTACATGGGGTTGCCGGCTGAAGTCTAGGTCCACCGGAAAAAAGGCCAAATATATGGAGCTTTATCGCGACTGCAAGGCAACGTTTCAAGTAGCTTTCGTGTGTTCAGAAGAACTTGATAATGAAGGTAGACCAGCTTGGACGAAAAAAAAGAAACAAAAAATAGGTTTCTTCTTGTACGTAAATATAAATGTCTAATAGTTTTCATGTACTAAGCCGACCAGTGCCTTAATGATAATGTTTGTAGGAACGAAGCCATTTACACGGCTCTTAAATCAATGTAATGGTTTATTGAATGCGTCCATACTCGCCATGCTGGATGCGTTGTGTCAAACAAGCACTGAAACGTTACAGATCACAAGCTACGTGGCAGATTCAATCGGTATTATGAGTACTGGTGTGTTGGAACGGTTTGATGAGTTGGTTCTAACGCCTTTCTGACCTAGGGCTTCCTGTATCGGCCCAACAAATACGCAACTTGATGAATGCTCGTTTTGGACACGGAAGAGCCAAGGCTTGAAGAACGTCATGTTCGAGTTTGCTGCGGACGAAACTTACAAGGAGCGCTTCTACAAGGCGACTGGGACCAAACTATAGGCGTCGTTCACCAGACGCATGCTCAACGCGAGATCTTTTCTCCCTGGGGTGGGACGCTAGATCTAGACTGGACGCACAATTACGCCAACTTAGGATTCTACGTGGATACGTCACGAAGCTGCGAAGCACTTTAAAGTTGGACAACTTCAAAACGTTGCTCAGCTTTCCAAGCCGTTGCGCAAGTACTTGAGCAGATCAAGAACTATAACTTGCTAATCTACCCTTGTATGCCGGTGTATGACTGCAGGATGTTTAGTAGCTACAGTACCAGCTGAGTGTGGTGTACCAATGCCGGATTTGCTTTGTCTAAAGCAGAAGAAAGAGACACTGTTGGCCGTTTTGACTTGCTTCAAAAGCAACAACCCATCGTGGAGTTGTTTACATAGTTTCGTCATCGACAAGGACGTCACTGAGTGGTCAACAATACGGAAAGCATTTTCGCAAGCAAGTGTGCGCTTACAAAAGTATCCATGTAGTATATGTGCTGTTATTAACACTGTTTCAGTTTGTTTTATCGATTTCATGTCCAGCGTGCGTCAAAACGATGATCAGCGAAAAAGAAACATTTGTGTCGCGCTCTTAGCAATGAGGCTGAGCGCATGTTCTTTGAAATTACGTATATCCCTGCGAAAAAGCGGCTCTCGAGTAGAGTGGAGGCTTTTGAATGTCGCGTCACATCTGTTGCGCCGGGGTTTGCAAAGTACTTTTCCCGCAAATGGACAAGCTGCAGTAGTATGTAGGCCAACTATGGCCGTCGGCACTGCTTCTCCGCTGTAAATACGACGACAAATCGTGTTGAAGCCGGTTGGAATCGGTTGAAGCAGCTACTAGACTGAAATACCGGTTTCGATCGGTGGGAGCGAGTAAAAATTCAGCACCTCCTCACTGCTCTGAAAACCCTGAGCTCTCCAGTGACAGAGCCGCTTCCTAGAGCACGGGATGGAGATTATAGTCGTGCCGCAAACAGTAGGAAATCACGTCGATGGGACATGCTTCACGCTAAAGCAAATGCACAAAGATTTACAGTATATGAATACTGATGCAAACAACCGAAAGCGCCGGGACTACCTCGTCTAGTTGCAGGAGTACCAAGCCATGGGTAAGCTCATTGTCTACATGGACGAAACCAACTTTATCTTCTGGTCTTTGGGCTTGTCTTGGACAACGCGCTGTGCCATTCCCGTGCTAAGGAAGATTTCAATGAAATTGAGATTTCGGGAGCAAAATTGCTACGTTTGAGGCCCTTTTCGCCAATGCTAAGCCCCACTGAAAACGTATTTTCAACCTTCAAAAGCGTTGTAAGGAGTTCGTGACTGACAACCGCATGGCGATCATCGATGTTCCGGCGGGCGTCACAATGAAAGCCCATTGGCAACCCTTCTCGCATCGCGCGGCGAGCCGCTACCTCCCCGACGTAACCACAGCGAAGCGATGCCAGCCCTTCATCGCCACACGCTTCGCTTTCACACCTTGGTAAGCGACCTCCAAGACATTCCAGTCGGAATCTAAGGTAGCACGCAACGTTTTCATACTGCCAGTCAGATCTGCAAATTTGCTTTTCTACAAAATTCCTTTGGCAGGGTAGTTGTTTTCAATATAAATGATGTGTTTGACCTAGCTCTTTACAAAGTTGTTTATGCTCAATGCCGTTGCTGTTGACAAACTTGGGCTGGAAAAGGTGTATGTTGTGATTGCAATTTCTTCATATCTACTCGTCTGCCGTGCCAGAATCTGCGTAGTGTTTTGGCCGCTCGAGTGAAGGAGCACAAATTTGAAGTTGCACAGCTTTACCCTCTATGGCCAATGAAGGGAAACGAGACTAATCCCGAGTACAAGAAGCAGAGCTTCGAGTACAGTTATATTTTTTTTTAAATATGTTCTTAACACTGAACGGGGAATCAGGATATTCCGGTATAACCGGAAGGACGCCGAGTACACAATTGAATTTAGCAACTGGGGAGCCTTGAAGATCCTGAGCCGATGCCTTTGGCAATTTGTTGGTTTCTGGAGCCATTGCGCTAGTCACTTTGCGCGCCAAACGGCTATCTACTAAATCCAAGAGCGTGTTGTTGCTTGGCCTCGTAGGCCGATTCTCAGACTGCAGTACGTCCTTCCAACCCAGCTCTGACTACGATGGCGCTGCCGGGCTGCCTACCGTGGCTGTTGTAACATGTCGCTCAATCCGTTTTGTACAGGGCATGTCGCGTCCCTATCCTATTTCCCGCCTTCGTGCGCTTACAAAGGTATCTGGTCATGAGACCAAGATTAGCGCGCTGATTGCCATGGAGCTGTACGACGCACACAGGTACGTTCATGCCCACAACGACGGCAAACATGGGAGTACGGACACGAACAAGTGTGCGGAACACCATAAATGTGGCCGCTTCTTCCGCACCCGAAAGTCTAATGCGACAGAGACAGGAACTTTGCCCTTCGTGCTCGAGGTGAAGGGGTCTCACTCGGACAAGCTGACTGACCACAAGAAAAAAGGCATCCACCCTGCCTTCGTTGTGGAGGTGAATGCGGCTGCAATGAGCAAGGACGGCCCACAGATCATTCTTAACAGCCTGCACATGAAGTACCAGGATCACGAGCATATCTTGCGTCATCTACCAGCACGAACGATGCTCAAAAGCCGCAGGGTGTACCTCATGGACAAGGCAGCTGAAGCGGCAAAGATCGATTCGTTAGCAGACTTGTACCAGTGGGCACCCATACGAATGTGCCTGAACGAGGTTAGGTTTTTAATGGGAAAAAATCCGAGCACTGGAGTGACGAGGCTGCGCTTAGCGCCGAGACGGCGGGTGTCCAAAATGAGATGCTGTCTTTCAAGTGTTTTCAGCACCGCTTCGACGAGAATGGCGCCTCCAAGAAGTCATGCGGTCTTGTTTTGACTACGTGCCGCGTCTTTCGCAACGCTCTGTACGCGGTGGAGGGCCAGCAGAGTGATGTTTTTTTTTGCCGCTGCAGACGGCACCTACAAATTACACTATGGTACGTTTCTTCCTCGAGTGTTATGGTATGGCTATCATGTTTATTTGTTAAATTAACTGATTTTTTATATTGACTCGCATGGTACACTTTAGGGAACTGGGTCCTAGTGGCGTTTGGCACCTACCGCAACCGGAACGCCGACAAACACGTGTATAGCAGGAATTTCGTGCCATGGGTCTACTTGTTTGTCAGGACTGAGCACCAGTACGCATACGAGCAGCTATACCGGACCGTCACCGAGTGCGCAGAGTGGATTTCAAGGTAAACTTGAATGTAAAGTACGGTAGTTTGAAACACGCAGCCTATATCACCAACGCGTATATGGCTGTGCGTGGCCTGACATCACGTTGGTAGACTGCTATGCGCACGTGGCGCGCAGTGCCGAGAGAAAATCTGTCTACTCACGGTCCCAGACTACTACAAATTCAACGTGGAGATAAATATTAGGCAGCTGCACCACACGAGATCGTCGGAGGGGTTCAAGGCTGTGGCGAAGCTTTGCACAGACAAGTGGCGTGCGGACAAACAAGATGCGTACGCTGACTGGTTTACCGAGTGGTTTTCGTCAGAGCTTTGGTCGAGGTGGCACACGATGAGTGCCATCTCTGGTATACTGCCATCGCAGAATGCGTTGGAGTACCATAACAGGGCGAGCAAGGCGTGCGGCGTCAGGTTCAAGCGCGCCAAGACCGGTGTGGCGTAGCGGGATCAGCAAATCAGCGAGATTGCTGGATCCAACTTACCAACTGCGCCCAGACACCAACTAACGGAGGGGGTCCCCCGATGATCCGTGTTCTGCTGAACTTTCCTCACCTTGTGTACCCGTCGGTAGGGCGGGATCTTGCTCTCTCGGTAACTTCCGAAGAGCTCAAGTGGTGAAGCTTGAGTGTCTTGGCGAGACGTGGGGATGGGGTGGAGCAGCAGTGGTAATGTCTTCACGCTGCGTCCGTGGCTGGTTCTGGATCCTAAGCGAATATTCGAGCTTAAGTGGATCCAAGGCCTAGATCGTGGATCTGGCCGTAGGGGTGCCTTGAGGGTGTGTTCCCTTGCCTTTGCGTTTCCCTTGCGTCGTACTTGCCGCCTCCTGTGACAGGATCTTGAGAGTTGAGATCTTCTTGGGTATACCCGGTCAAGTAGTAAATCCGGTTAACCAGGTCGGATCTGCACGTGTAAGGAAAAAGCTCATTAAATTGTAGGATCTGGCCAATGTATTATTCAGTTATCACTACCAACACTAGATTCGCAATTCCCGACCTTCTCCGAGCTCGTACGGTCAATGTAGCTCCGATTCTTGAGGGCAGGAAGGCACTTGCGTGTTACTGTGCAAATAGAAGTCTGTATTGATTCTTAAGCCTCTACCTGCCTGGATTTCTACTTTCTATGTCTTTTACCTGTTAAATCCCTTACTAGGCTCGGCTGCATGTCCTTTCTCTCCTTGATCCATCATTCCAGCTGTATTATCATCAGATCCACCGGATTCATGGCGTAATCATTATAGTCACCCTATTATGGGTATACTCATCCGGACCCAGGTCACTTTGATCTACCTCACTGTAAGTGTACACTCGTTTTGGATCTGAGCTCTCCAATCATCCAACATCATCTTGCGACCGTCTGTGATCTCCATTGTCCCACGAAAGTTCGAGATCCACTGCATCCATCATCCCTGTATCCCGGATCCAGGTCCCTCTATGCGGGATCCTCCCCTCCTTGGATCCGAACTCAGAAGTATGGGATCCGGGACACCTCGCGGTGGATCTTGACTTCTCATTAGTCGTGGCTACTAGATCCACCTTCAGATGACACCTACCACCATTCCTTCATAGGACCCACACTCGATCCACCGCTACATAGTATATCCCATATCCACCTAAGTGAACCCAGGTAAGGGTAGATCCGAGATATTCCTTGTTGGATCTTGCCTTCCCGAACATCACTCATACCAGATCCATCGTCGTCTCATACGGGGTGCTGCTCGTCATGGCCAATCCACCTCAGGCAACTTG